TTCTGACAAGAATATACCACAGATGGAATGGGCTTAACAAACAGGAGTTTATTCTTATAATTTGGAGGCTTTAAGTCCCAGTTCAAAGTGCCAGGCTCTAGGGGCTGGGTGAAAGTCCCTCAACCTTGGGTCCAGCTCTGCCTCCTGCTCCCGGCCCACTGGAGCTAGAGGCGTTTCTTCACTCAGACAGCTGCTGGCTGCTGAGGCTAACAAACCCAAGTTTGACAAGTATAAAGGCACAGTCCCGACATTAACCAAACCACATGGCAGGCCATTAATTTAAGTCCATTGTAAGTCCCAAGGTCGGCAGAGCATGGCAGGCTGCTGAACAACAACACAACTACATGCAGTTGTCCAAGCATGCCATAGGCTAGAGACTATTCTCAAAGCTGCTTCTTACGTAAGGGAAGCAGACCACATCCCCAAAGCAGCTACTCAGCTGCTTGTGGTAGATCCCACCATGGAGTGGATTGCCAGTCTCATCATGGGGAATAATTACCACCAGCTGCCCAGCCACCCAACCAGGCCCAGCCAATTGACACACAAATATAACTACTGCAGCCCAATTTTTTTCTCTTTGCACAGTACCTGACTAGCTTAGGAAGACCATTTGTCAGAAGTTAGGAGGTTAGACGTGTGGTAGTGTGGGGAGTTGTGTATGCGTAAAATACTTGCCTTCCCTTGATATGAACACATTGATAACTTAGTGTCTAGGTCAGTTTCTTGTTTGTTTTTAGAAGTCCAATGTGCTATCCATTGTGCAGTGGAGCCACCTTCTTGTTTGTTTTTAAAAGCCTATTTCTGTTATTCTTGGAGTACTTATAATTACCAAATAGCTTCTGTAAGTTGAGGACATTCACATAGTGCTGTTAGTGCTGTTCAGTGATTCTGACTCATGGCGACCCCAGTGTGCAGAGTAGCTTCTGTAAGTTGAGGACATTCACGTAGCACTGTTAGCCCCCTTCCGTCTTCAGCTGACTCTGACTCACGGCATCCCCAGTGTGCAGAGTACCACCTGCTCCATAGGATTTCAAGGCTGCAATTTCCCGGAAGCAGATCACCAGACCTGTCTTCTGAGGTGCCTCTGGCTGGGCTTTGAACCGCTAGCCTTTTGGCTAGTAGCTGAGAGCTTAGCTGTCTGCATTATCCAGGGACTCACACAACATGCAGTTAATCAACCATTTTAAAGTATAAAATGCAGTGGATTTATGGTGTTGCCCAACCGCCATGTTGCTCCAGTTTAAAGCCTTCTCATCTCTCAGAACA